CTTACATACATATATATATACAAATATGTATATATATATAACATTTATATTATATACATATATATATATATAACATTTATATTATATACATATATATATATATAACATTTATATTATATACATATATATATATATATATAACATTTATATTATATACATATATATAGATATACATATATATGTATATATATATATATACCACGTAATATACCTTTGCATATAAAATATCGTTGCAATAGCTGTGGCGTGCTATCTTTATTGATATAATTTAGAATGTGCTCGAAATGCGACACAAGTACACCGCAAAATAAGTATTCAATAGCACTGTGGCATTAGTAAAGAAATAAAGAAATACTTCTACATACATTATTATAGGTATCGCACTGCTTATATCAACCTACTATACCTATTACTTGCAACTTAAAAGTGATAGTCAGGGCACCAACTCCAACTCATACAACTTCAGGTGGAAGCTTTTGGCGTTCTCGTCATCAGCACCCAGTGCATCAGTTCCTACCTGCCGAAAGCCGAAAGCCTCATATAAGTGTTGTGCGACGACATTGTCATGCGGTGTGCCTAATTTTAGAATACCACGGGCGGTAACCTTGCCTGTGCCCGCAGTACCCTCCGTGAGTAGTCTTCTGGCTAACGATATCACACCTTGAATAAGCATCCGTGCAATCCCTTGCCTCTGGCACTCAGGTGCCACACATAATGTTTCCAGTCGACCATGGGTGTGATTGACGTCACACACATAAGACACCGCTCCAGCAATCAGGTCTTCGCTGGTATCCACGTCTTGTATGTGTACATCTATCCCATCACCAGAGCGCTTTATATTATATTCATCGTCGTAGGTCACGATGGATGACCTGGGACTGACTTTATGATCATTCTTGCTGCGTCGACAAGCAACAATCGTATATGTTCTCGATTTCGATATGGGATCGATCGCATTGCTACTCGGAAACGCCTCGGCTCTTTTGCTATTAAGCATCGCACTGATGCAGTCTATAGCATATTTATTAGTCAGCGTACGTATGGTTTGCTCATGTGCGTTTGAGAACAGGCAATTGATGATATCTTTATCGCGTGTCCGAAAGGGACGCAAATAGAAGCAGCCGCTCGAGATTTTGCCTTCTACGCAACTTTCTGACGAGCTTTCTAGGTTCATATCGGCAACGTCTATCATCTTGAAACTCCCCTCTAATTGTTCCCTGTTGATTTCACCTGAGTTGGGTCGAGGGACGCATATGTAAATGATTATTTCTCCGATGGAGTCCGAGTTATACACTACGGTTTACAAGAGTAATGGAAAACTAAACTAGATGAAGCTCAACTACGAGTGACCTAGTAGTGAAAGTCTAAACCTTAGCGTACTAGAGAGTCTGTGAGACTCGGAATAATAAAGGCTCATGACAAATAATCGATGAGCAAACCGAAAGTCCATATTTGAACATATTACGAATAGGATAAAGACCCTAAACCTGACACCCAAGGTCAGGGCTGTCAGTCCATCTTCGAGTGGACAAGTGTCCACTGTCCTAGATCCTGGTGTAGGTCCGTCCGTCAGGACTCCTAAGGACACGTGTCGTAACTCGTATCCCCTACTACACCGACGCCTCAGCGAATAGTATTCATTAGTAGATGAACTATGGAGAAGGCATTCTCCCAAATGAGAAGCGAACCACTCAACCTTCAAAACTCTCCTCTTCTTGGGTAAAAACACCACAAAACTTTAATAATGCCCCTGTGACTGCGGCGTCACGGTCACAAGTCACCCGCCCAGTCGCTCACACACTGTATATTTTACAAAATAAATACAAATGAAATATCATTGCTTTTAGTATTAGGTCTCTATTTGGTAAATTTATATATTTACATAGTGAGAGCTTGGAAACATTCAGATTTCAGAAGTATTTTTTTTAGAAATGTTCTCGTTATCTCGTATGTACATTTTTTTTTCAAAATAGGTTTTTTACAAATAAAAATAAGTAAATTCTCCGGCATTTTCCTGTTCAAAACTGGATTCTGTTGAATGAAATTAAATACGTCCAGAATTTTTCAACCAATCAAACTGATTTAAAAAAACAAAACAAAAAACAAAAAACACAACAAAACACCAGCTGAAAGGCTGAAAGGCTGAAAACTGCCTGTGAAAGTAAAAAGTCATGACCGTCGAGTAGTGTTTACTAATCTATTTTAAAATAAATAAATACAATACCTCTCTCTAGAGAGTAGAGTGAGAGAGAAGAGACTAAAAAACGTCCGTGAAAACTTTGAGGCTTTGAGCTTCCAGTATTCTTAAAAATAGAAATTAGATATAAAGTTCGGTACTGATCTTGTCAGATAATGAACGCAAAGATTATTGGTCGCGCAATGGTGATTGCTGACGGCAATCTTTTGGAATGAAAATAGCAGCGAGCTGGCTTCAAAATTACAATTAGATTTTAGATTTTAGTGAATCACTACGCAGAGAGACAAACTGCTCTAAAAATGTGTAAAGCTGGCTTCCAATTAAATCACTATGATTACTTTCTATTTAGGTTTTAGTTATCTCCCTCCAATACTTTTAGCCTGTTTTCACTTCACCTAGCGTCCTCTAGCAAACAAGTATCGAATTTGCTGGATCCGCGCCCAGATACGTGACCAACCAATTCGACCATGCCTTCAATAAATGTTATAATTTTAGCCAGCAACAGTGCAACACCGTGGAGGAGTTACTGACATAAAAAAATGAGTAGCTGTCATCAAGTAGCTCAGTTGTGTTCTAATAGAGGCGAAAATAGGCAAATTTCAGGTAAGTACGCCTGTGAACAGCGTGTGCGACGGCTACGAATCTTTCGTTAAATACACTGGTCTCTGCATTTTGAAGTGGCACTACTACTTTTCCGAGAAAATTCATCACATATATTAGAACAGTGCGTAGAGCTTATATTCTGTCTGAATTGTAAAGAGCATCTTGGTAAGCCACAGTCAGCGCCACAAATACTTCCCACTTAATCTCTCGATCAACCAGACAAATACTACACATAGAAATATGGCATTCAAGCGAGGTACATCACTACCGGCTGGCAGCGGTGTCGGTGCGGGCTATAGTAATCTCAGCAGCAGTGTTTGCAGCTACAGCAGCAGTCTGAGCAGCTTCACAGGACCCTTTAGTGAAGATGAAGAAGCGATCAAACTTTTCGTCAGAGAACTAGAGTTGAGGTATGTTTCAACCCATGTCGAGTATAGCGCAACACTGCGTAAATAGAGTAAAAAAACTGTGTAGCAGGTTTTGTCAGACTAAAGTCAAATTACGGCTCAGATTTGTACTAAAGTATCAGTATACATACAAATATGCACTTTGCTCTGGACAAAAATAAGTGTGCTCAGTACTCTGTATACATACAATTGTACAAATATGCCAATATATATATATATGTATATATGTATATATATGTATATATATATGATATATATGTATATGTATATACATATGTATATATATAGTGTATATATA